CCGCCACTCGTCCAGCCATTCCTGTCGACCCTGCTTCCCCCAGCCCCCGCCTAGCACCCATTCCTCTACGGTCTTTTCAACCTCTCTCTCGTCTCTCACCCCAACACCACCAACGACCCACACACCGTCTCACTCTCTTTGCGAGCGCCATTGCCCTCCCTCCTCCCGCCCCCTGGCAGTCCCCGGCCAAGGAAACGCGGGATCGCTTCGAATTCAAACTACCGAACACGAGGTTACCACGCGTCAAATCTGACATTCCACGACGATGCTCACGAAACGGCCGAAATGCCGACTTTAAGAATTTCACGAGAAATTCACGGTTTTTTGACGATTCTCAGATCGGAGTAGCTGTTTAGTCTTAAGCTTGTGTTCGAGTCATGTCTGAGAAAATGTATGTCTTAGTATTTCATAAAGAAATTGATTAAATTTTTTGTTGATGTTTAACATTTTAAAGCGTTTGTAAAATTATAGGAACAACCTGGCAGGGTTCATGTTTCGAGGGACGAGAGTCTAAGAGGGTGAACGTATCGAACGTTCCCTTTTGCCAAGAAATGGAAGAAGGATTTCCCGTGGGTAGAAGTGAGCGCGATAGCAAGAAACGTTATGTCACGGCTTGGCTATGCTTAAAGATTATTTGATGTCTAAGAATCCTTGCGAGAGCATGCACGAAACATTGCCGAGAGGATTCCACTAGCTTTGTGCTTCTGTCATTTTTCGTAACACAACTGTCGTAGATTCGCCCTGGTCGATTGGTCGAGTTCGGTTATTCGAAGGATATTCTAGGAGAGACACAAGCAAGTCACGAATCGTCTCTGTCAGGAAAACACACTCCGACAAGAGCTCACTGAAAGGTCTGAAATAAATTCCTGGGGATTTATCAATATTCCTCGAACGACAGCAGTGACTTTCGATCCTGGTTTGTAGATGGTGAATAAATGCCTGGACTCGCTTGAAACCTCAACCAAAGACAGTCTCATACCGCACAGAAACTCACCTGACCAACGTCGCACCACATTATTATTTAGCTGGCACTGATGACAGCATCTTGGACCGTTCGTAAACCATATACAGTACGGAATAGTCGTAGATTTTCAGTGAGAAACCGTCTGTGGAAAGTCCGAGGTCGCAAGGTGTCACAGTCTCACAGAGCCAAACGCTACTCGTAGGAACACCACACGATCACTCCGACTGAAAAACAAGTCTCACCGACGACCCTACTGGCTAGCCAGCCATGCAAAGCATTACTGAGTACTCTGACAACAGTCTTCACCGAGTACCGCCGCTCGGTTTTCCCCCGAGCCAGCTCGGGAGTTTCCGTTAGCGTTCGGCCCACCTGCACTCCGACACGACGGCACAGCAAGCCAGGGCCGTCTACTGTTAACTGGAACCCCGATCTACAGAGTTCGCAGCCTGCCTTTCAGCTTGCCTACCTGCGTGCTTGCTTGCCTTCCCGAAACTACATCCTACCGAGTACAGCAATATGCTCCGTAGAGAGCCTGAGACCCTCCAAAATTAACGGGCAACGTTCGTCCACGACACACCGTTGTGGTTGTCGTCCAAGGGAAAACGGGGCCAGGTCTCTGGAAGATTGTTCCTCGACTTTCAGATGACCGCTCACTGGTGATATGAGCTTCCTGCGACTTGCAAACAGCACTGCTTTTAATAATTTGTTTAAATCGAAGGATAATGATTGAAACAATTTCAACAGGACACTGTCAAACAAGTTTTTTCTAATATCCAGATGAAGGTAAATGTGCATTTAATATTACAAGCTAATTCCGTACTGTTTATATCTCTACAGGAGCTTCTGTTGTTAGCTATAAAGTGTGATTGGACCAAAAATAGATGCGAACAAATCCGTACACGGTCAGATTGTTACCTGATGCGGATCTGTGAATTCTCTTACTCCTGGAATTGTTAACTGTACCTGAATGAACGTAGGTAGAATGACCCCGTTTATTATCTGGAGGGTCGTAAAGTCTAAATGACAGACGCGACGTAAAGCGCTACCGAATGTACGTACTTACCTTATATACAATATATGTATATATATAGACGGTTAATAGGCTTAGTAATACTATACTAATAATCGCTAGTTCCTTTTTTCAGATTTTTCCAAGACGAGTGGTAAGACTGTTTCAGGATAGAGGATATAACTTTGAACCTGTGTCCAACCGGTATAAGCACAAAGACGGATCGTAAAATTAATTTACTATTCCAATTAAAGTTTCGTGGTAAGCAAACAATTAATACAAACAAATAGAGGGTAGAGTGGAAGTGGACAGTGTATAAAATAAATTATGATACTTCCCACCTTACAGTAAGATCGTTCATCTTCTTAATTTATGATGCTCGAGGACAAAAATCTTTATTGAAAAGAGCGCATTCAGGAGGTAAAACATACTAAACGAAAGAGCGAATAAAAAACAAATAACGATAGCAGTATTTATGCTTTGATTGAAACGAACCGATGATTGCTCCCTTTTAAATATTCAGAAACGTATTTATAGATATAGAAATATTTCTCGATCCAGCAAGTCGAACTATTTGAACAGCTCTTTGAAAATATCGCGTTCGCACGTGGAATGCGCGTGCTGAAAAGTTCGCGGTCTTTACCGTGAATTCCCGCTATACGAATAGCATGTCTCTCGAGTCGTTTGTACCGATAGTCAAATAGGCAGACGCGCACGTGATTTTCAACAATTCTCATATAATACCCACCTCTGAAAATATCGACAGTTTATAAAGTGCGCCTATCAGGTTACACAGTCCAGGTTCCACTACCCTATACTGTTTTGTTTACGTTCGGCTACGCGCTCACGATTATAGGTTACGGCTTTCGTATTATTACTGTTTTATTTATTCGAGAACGATGTCGGTGCGCATCCATTCAGCATACGAGAATTCATATTGTAATTGAAATGAAAATGTATCGACACGTTGTAACTAACGAGATGAGAGTGAGGTTATAAAACGGCAATTAAAAAAAAAAGGCGTAACAATTAAAAACGTTAAATTCTTATAACCTGATAATAAATTTGATCGAACCTCTGTCGTTGATGGATATTGTGATCTTGTCTGGAACTATTAATGCATCAAATGTCCATTTTCTCAGTAGCCAGTGTCAGTCGTCGTTACTGTCTATCTGAGCTCCGTTTTACTGCATATTAAAAAAAAAGAAAAGTGTTATAGGTCTCGAATATATTCGTTTTTAAAATATGATGATTGTCAGCTTCGAGATCGTGGACGCGATTCAGCTCAATGAAAATGAAAAACTCTAGACACATGTGGATTCATATAGATATATGTTAATCCAATGACAACTTAATTTATGCATGTATGATGTATATACACGCACGCCGTCACCGCCAAGACTTTACACCTGTACCAGAGCCGTGTTAAGCACATTGCATAACCTGCGGGTAGCACGAAGCTTGTCGTGGATCGTCACGACCTGTACAAATTTTCAACGAAACGAGTGGAGGAAACGTTTCGTTTTGGTAGCGCGACATCGATTCACTACGAATCGATCCAGTCGCCCTGGAAAAGGCTTGGAATAGTTGGCAGTGAAGTCATCGATACTCGTCAGTGTCCTTAAATTCACCAGAATAATGTTTTCAAGAAGATACAGTATAGCGCCACCATTATTGAAAATTAAAAATCAATATCTATTATAGAAATTTCAAAAGTTGAAAATTTTACCAAATTTTGATGCAGTATTTATCAGTGAGTATTACGAGAAAGAGAAAATAATAATAAAGAGAAAATGTGAAAAAAAGAAATTTATAATTTTTTTTCTAATTTCAAATGACAGCTACTACGCGCGTTTCAACAGTTTAAGTTACTCGAAGAGCCTCCTGACGCTGGGGCCCCTAATCATGAACCTAGCGCTGCTAGGCCTAAAACCGCCACTGACGGGCTGTATAGGCGTGGCAAGCTAAGCGTCGGCCGGCGTTCACAGACAACGCCGCTCGCCGATCACGTTATACCGTCCTGCTGTATACGACGAGCAACCTAAGAAAATTCATCGAAAACATTTTTATTATTTCCCGCTGAAATGGCGTGCGCTGTCGCGATTTCGGATGCACGTAGCGATGCGGTTGGGGATGGTTCACCGATTTTTGTAGGGTAGAATATGCGTCGCGATGTGTTTGACATGTTACGTGAAATATTTCAGTGGGTAGGTTCTTTCGGGTGGAAGAGAGACAGAGAGACCTCGAACGAGAGAGTGGAACAAGGAGAGAGAGTGGAAACCGTTGGAAGGCCGCGTAACGCCACGAGAGCTGTCGTTTTCTCGTCGATGTTCTCCTCGTGGTTGTTGCCGTCGTCATCGTCATCGGCGCAGCTACGTGCGTCGTGACGACGACGTCCATCAGGACGACCTACTCGGGGACGAGGACGAGGACACGAATCAGCGCGGGAGAGAATGAAAGGTGCGCAGGAGTATTTGAATGCGTTGCGGGCTTTTCAGTACGGCCGGTCAGGCAGGAACCGACTGGAGAAACTTTGGACTCCATGTTGGAGACATATGGCTATGTCTTTCCTGTTGAACTATACAGAGTCAGAGTTCCAGGGAGATACTGGCACTACCACGGCCGGCGGACTCTGCGTCATTGCATGGCTGACTCGGTCGGACTGACTCTGCTAAAAGTCGGAGACTCGTCGCGACTGACTCTCTCAGCTTATTGCCAACGATGCGCAAACAATTCTGCTTTCTTGAGCTCGGCTGACGACGTTCCTAGCATCGCTGCGCTTATGCGACGACGGCTGGCGCAGCGACGGACACTACAGAGATGCGTTGATCCACCGTCGCAGCGCGCATAGACATACATACGTATCTACTATAATCTAAAATATCGATATATTGTATTGTGTAATAATTTATATTTTCAATAAGCTAAACATAAACATTAAGAATCCAGTGATTATAATTTTATATTTTCGAAATTAGAGAAATACTCTTATATTATTTTTTAAATTACTTTCTTACTTCTTGCTTGGTACCTAATCATTTCCGGATGCTTAAGAACATTGCGATTCGAGTACGACTCACTGTTCACCTCCTTGAGGACGATTGTCTTGTGTTGCCAGACATGCGTCCCGCTGTTCCGTAATTCGCCAAGGCGAGGCGCCGTATCGAGATCGTTCTCTCGAAACGTACGAGAATCATAAAGCCGTATTTCTATTTACACAAATAAACACGTACGCCCGTCTAGCATGAGTGGACCGTAAAATCATGTTACGCCAGTGCAGCTATAGAGGATGCCGAGTCGGGTCAGTTTTCCTGTCATTCCCGTGCACCAGGTTGCAACTGGAAGCCCTTGCAGACACCTTCGTCCCTTGGTCCTTCCGCGTAGCTACAAAACATCTACTCCCTCCCTTCGCGCCAGGCATTATACACTCACCCAACAAGCTAACGAAAAAAAAAGTGATAAATTCATAATCAAATAGAAAAAATTAATATTTTTAAATCGTCAAGCAAGGAACTTTATAACTCGATTCCGCCATTAATGAGAACTCAAGTTCTATCTTTGAGAATATTTTATCGCTATCACGTGCCAAGATTCTATTAACGAGATAAACATTTTTTTTTTTAGAATTTCTTACAGCACCTTGACAAGACTATGGACAATCATAGCGTTGTTTATCATTCGTATATTTGGCTCTATATTCTGCATAGACAATGTTCATCAATCTCAATATGTTTTACAAGATAGCAGATAGAATCTAAATAATGTTTACGTCACGATAACTCCACCCTACGTATCTTCATCAAAACAATCAAAACTTCACCTGAATTCACAAGCTTGCAAGAGCATCGCATGACGCTTAAATTCCGGGCCTCTAGTTTTCTAACTTTCTAGACAATACCAGTGAATAAATAATCGACTTCACGAATCATTGCTCTACTCCAATAAAGTCACGTCAATGACTCGATTCCAGTTTGACAACATATTACGGCACGAGCAACAGTCGACCTCTTCATTCGTCACGTTCTAAACGATTATCTGAATCATTGATGTGAATCGACGAAATGCTCTCAAGAATTATTAGACAGCGTCATTGTGCCTCGTACGATCTGTCTTATTAGCACCGATCAAACACTTATTAATGATTCCGATCGGTAGCAGATAACGATTGAGACCTAAATAGATCTCTTTGGATAGGCGTAAAAATTAACTCCGGCGTTGAGGATTAGTCATCCCACTTGAGCAGTCTGTTCGCAGGAGTAAAAAAGAAACTGTAATCCTATTTACATATAATAATAAACGGCACGGGTAATTTGCGATTTAATAAACGAAGATCGAAAGCATCGACGGTAAGTTGGTCCTCGTCTTATCAAAGTCGCCGAGTGCGATAAGGTTATCTTTATCGTAGATAAGTCACTTCGAAGTTTGACTTATCATTACCACCGTGAAACGCGTATAAGCGCAACACCACTATTCCCGTACCTTTACAATACGCATCGCAACTGTATATATCAACATATATGTATATACCGAATACAGGTAAAAATTTGTTGTTTATCAAAAATCGTACTGTACACAAGTTTAGTATACTTGATTAATTTTAACCAATCGATCGTCCAAAGTCATCGATAAGTTCTCATAGATACCGCAAGATCAAGCTGAAGTTGTTCAAGACTGTGCTGAGACGCCACGTGTGCCGGACCAATCGCCACGTGTCATTTTCAAAGAACCTTCAGTTCCACAGTACAGGAAAGTAAGAAGAATCCAAACGACACGAGGATATCAGTAGAAGGGGATGCGTCCGTAGTCGCAGAATTGAAGCCCGGCCGCTCTTTAACCCTGACCTGGCCATAAAATATACGGTGAAAAAGACTTTTCCTTTTACGCACGAGCGAGTGGATCGAACTCATGAATGAACGGAGCTCTATTTATGGTGGGAATGACATTTTATCGCCGTCGCGAGAGTTGTGTGCGACAGTACGTACGACCTTAAGGAAAGTCTTCCAAGTGTTTCGCGAGACTTTATTGCATAACAGCGTAAACAGACAAGTCCTTAAAGAGCGAGTAAACATTCACATAAACCCGACAAGTATATCTCATTTGTCACACGAGCAGCCATTGACCTTAAAAGAGGGAACCCCTCAGGGACTAGGTTAACGTAACGTATACAAGCTATGCTTCACAATGTTACCCAACGTAAAACTCCATTATCGAAAGGGAGTAAAGAGGAGTGAAAAAGCATGAAAGTGGGGGAAAACAAGAGAGCGATGAAAAATGATGTTTATCAATGAAAAGGTCAAGCAGCGTTAAAGAAATTTTAACCCGTGGATTAACAGGTGTCCGAGAGAAAAAAAAAAGGTCGGTTCACAATGCTCGACGACACGCGCCGTGAAAGCATTTCAAAAGCGACAATATGAGTGCGCGTCCCGGTAGGAGGGTACACCCACGAGAGCCAACGCATACCAGGAGCCCCGTAGTCAATAAGAGGCCGCTGTCGCCGATTCAATAAGAAACACAAGATATTTCGAGAGATTTATAATGCATGGACCCCGGACCGCGTGCGACACTATACGGCACGAGCGTGGCGGAAGGAGACGAGAGAAAAAAGATAGCGAGAGGAAGAGAACGAGGGAATGAAATATAGAGAGAACGAAGAAGGTGGCGGTGGTGGCGGAGGTAGGAGGGCGGACAGGGTGGAGAGATTGAGGCGGGTCAGGCACAAACGAGCCGCCCAAACGACGCACCGAGAAGCTTACGCAATCGGGTATATCTGGGGAGATTAGTTTTACGACACTTCGGTTCCCGTTCTCGGATTTCCCCTACCAGCTGGGAACGGCGTGCCGGCGGCCACGCGCCAAATCATTGTTGCTCGAATATTAATCACCCTGGCTGATAGCCCGTGTGTACGTAGCTTTACGCCGGGAACCGTGAAATTTAGCGTAGGTCACGGTGAATCCCGGCTGTTAACGACGTTACTCAACTTTTCAACTTTCCGAAGACTTTCCGATTTCCCCTCTTCCCTTTGCCCTCTCAGCCTTCTTCCCGTGTATCCTTCTCGCAGCATCCTCCGTTCCTCGCGTGACACGGCCGGGTATCGATGTAGCGACGGCTGCGCGCGGATCCGCACCGCCGGTGGGAACGATAACGGCCCAGTGAACTGCTATGAATATTATCCTTCGTTATTGGATATTCCGTTTTCTTTTTATTTTTATGCCAGTGAAATTTATTATGTATCATTAATTAATTGCTATCGGCTCGTCAATCTTTGCGCACGTTTATCGGAAATCAATGACCGATTTAACGTATGATAATTGCTTTATGGATCTTGGTTTGATTTGCCGATCGTTCGACCATGCTAGCGTCGCGTTGCGGTATAGGCTTTTGGCGAATAACTGTATAGGCTTGAAAGTATATTATGCAATGGGAGGCACGAGAGTATCGAGCTCGTCTGACCGCATAACATGCTGTTACTACTGTAACTCAGTTTATGAGATAATCATGGATAACACTGATTGTCAGTATGATATGGAAAAAATATAAGTATTGAACAGTTTCGATATAAAGAATCGATCGAACAGGTTGATCGGCACTTGAATCTATGCCGTTTTAATTATCTCCACGGCGGATGGAGGACGGTACGGAGAATCCATCCTTTTCATCTCAGCATCGATCGTTTCGCGTACGAACGGGGAAACGTTCGATCGCCCCGTGAACGGACAACGTTACGACATCAGTGCCAATGGGTTTCGTAGCGAGAACGAAACACAGCGAGCCATACGTGTGCTCTACGTACCTAAGTTCTTCGCAGTTGAAGATGTCTGTTATACTAGAACTACGTATATTCAGTTTGGAAGCGAAGGCAGCGAAGGCAGGTAGGTACGTACGTAGATAGGCAGTCAGGCATACGGGAGGTTGACTCGCACTACTGGGCACCTCAAGGCTGCCCGCTCGGTCGCATTCCAAGTTCCGACCAGCGCCATTTCTCTCTCGTATGCCGAAGAGAACTGTCCGTGCGCCGTTCCGCAGCTACCTTCAGACTGTCTACCTCCACGGCACGGAACTTGGACTCGATCGCTATTCGTATAATGTATATGCATAACGCTAAACCCTGTGGCAAGGTGGATCTCATCAGCAGCTGTGTCCTTGACTTGTTGAATCGACTTCCTTTTTTTGGTATCCCATGGCGGAATTGTCGTTCGAGATTTATACATTTGTATATATACATTTAGTATTGATCTTTAAAATATGAAATTTCGCACGTTCTTTTTCGTTTTCATTGTCAAACTCATCTTGCCGCTTCATGCGCGTCTTGCCGTGAGCTTCGCGGAGCAAGGTGCCCCCGGTACGATGCAATTCCGCGGCCTACCCTGAAGTAGGGCAGCCGCTAGAGAGTCGGAATATACAAGTCGCCAGTCCCCACCAACTTGCATGACCGAAGCCAAAGTGGTTCGCGCTATTTGGAAACCCTTCGCGCAAGCGTTGTGTCCATAGAAGCACCTGACGCATGTGCGATTGGATATACGTTGTGACGTGCGTTACATGTGAACTCTGCTAATCGCGCATGCGCACGGGAACTGTAAAATTTCAAACTCGACGAATGACATGCAAGAATTAAGAAAATTATTTATTAAACAAAATGCGAGGTCGATTCATGAAAATTTTATTGTACGAAAAATTATTTACAAGTGGCTTTTTAATCGCCGAGATTCGCATTTTTTCTTCATGATCTTTCAAAACGTTGCGTATACGAACTCAGAGAAAAATGTATCCCATGACTCACGCGAACGAAAATAACATTTTTTTCTTACAACTCGTCTGTGCTTTCGCGTGGTTGTGTTGGAGTGACTGGCGAGTGAACGTGTTTTGTACGAGTCGGTAACGCGGGATCGCTGACTTACCGACGGAGCAAATTCGGTATCGTCTAATATCATGGGTGAATAATAGA